AAATACATTTTCTCATTTTTATTCTTCTAAATTTGTACTTATTTTTTTCCTCTAACAAATTGGTAGTCTGACTATTCATGACAGCTGATTCTGAAATAATTCCTGTATCAGGAATGGGTTTTTGCTTTTCTTTAAAAAAAATAATCAATTTTGCTTTTGTGCTGTTATTGAGTGCTCACTTTGGTGCTTTCTGGTTCCTTTTACAAAGAAAAAAGGTCATGATATGTAAATATGAAGTTTCTATGTAGTCCACAAAACTTTGACCTCTCTTGATTTTGAAAAAAATCATTTCATTATTATGAACATATTTCTTTTTGTCTTCAACTTTTCCTAATTTTGTATTAAAGTGGTTCCATATAAAAGTATATTTAACTTGGAAAATCTGTTCTTTTGTAGAATTTTCTTATCTCTTTATTTTCTATAAAAGATGTTGTGTATGATACAATTATTTTCATTGCTTACATAAAGCAGTATAATGTGAGTCAATACAATATCCCATGAAAATACGTCTTTTATTGCCTTTGGGCTTACTAAAATCTGTCAACACGTTTATTTGCCTATATGAAGAGAATATGTGAACCATCATTTCATTTGGCTGCATATACCTTCTTATATTTTCATATGTAGAAAAAAGTCAAGAAGGATTCAATTCATTTTTTCATCTAGTAATATGTATTCTCTTTGATCACTAGACTACGAGACCACAGTTTGGTTAAAGTTTATAGATAATATAAAACAATCTTATTGTTAATGTCCTTTTATTTCCTTTTCTATAATTACTGAAGAAATAGAAGTGTCAATACTGGACTGGTAGCTATTTTTATTTTTATGGTTTTTCTTTAGTTGCCAATGTCAAGAAATTGAACATCAATTGGCCAACCTGGTGTTGATGACTTTCTCCATGCTTAGTTAGGCTAGATCTCATAACTCTGAATCCTTCATGATGGAAAGTGCCATCCACATCCAGAGAAAGAACTCTGGAGTCTGAATGCAGATGGAAGCATACTATTTGCTCTCTTTTTTGTTGTTGTTTTGTTTTCTTGCTTCTTTCTTGTGGTTCCTCCCATTGGTTCTAATTCTTCTTTAAAACATGACTAATGTGAAAACATGTTTAATATGAATGCACGTGTAGAGTCTATATCAGATTACATGCCATCTTGGTGAGGGGGTAAGGAGAAGAAAGGGGAGAAAATTTAAAACTCAAAATCTTATGGAAGTGAATGTTGAAAACTAAAAATTAATTAATTAATTAAGAAAAAGAAAACTCAGTCCTTTTGTATTTTTTATGATTGCAATTTCAAACCTTTTCAGTGTGGTATAACCTACTAGACTTTAAAATCAATGGCCATAGTTTTCCAGAACTTGGGGTTACCTTCACATCATGATGATACGTTGTCCAAGTAGGTCTTTGTTGACCATGAAATATGGGAGTTACTGAAGCTAATATAATCAAACTGCATTACAAAAATCACAGTGTGTTGTCCTATTGTTGTCTTCCATGCTTAGAACACATTTGTAGACTTGTGTTCACTCTTCAGTGACACCTTTTGGTAAGGACATTGAAGAGCCAGAAAACATTCAGAAAATTGCAATCCAGATGGGGTGGGATTTTGTGACCATGCTATATGATGATAATTTGAAGGAAGTGAGAATGTTTAGTTTAGAGAAGACAAAACTTAAGGGAGATATGATAACTGTTTTTTAGTATTTCTAGTATTATTATGTGGAAGAGGGATTAGATTTATTCAGCTTGGCCACAAAATGCAGAACTATGAACAATGGATAGAAATCACAAAGAGGGAGCTTTTGGCTTCATGGACAGAAAAAAAATCATGAAGAGTTATAACTACATGAGAGTGAAATGGGATGACTTAGGAGGTTGTTCGCCAACAATTAGAATATTCAGGTAAAACACTTGTTAGGTATGTTGAAGAAAAGTTGCTTATTCATGTATGGCTTGGACTAGATGGCCTCAAAAGCTGGTTTCAAAATAAAAATAAATGTTTTCAAAGTACGTGAGTTGATTTTTAGTACATCTAAATATGTACAGGAAGTACCATTTCTATTATACCAACTCTGTTATATTTACATATTATATAGTTTCTATTTTATCTGTGTAATGGAGTTCCCTTTATAGCTATATATCACCACCCATCCCATAAACAATAGTATTGACTCAAAGCCAGTACTAATAAAATATATCAGTTTTGTATCTGCATTTGCTACCTGCCAAATAAAATATGGTTCTAGAGAGCAGCAAGGCATTTTATTACAGCTGTCCCATTTGCATGGACCCTACTCCTCCACCCCGCCACACCCAGTGGAAAATGAGCCCCTGGAGGGTAGATATTGAATTGTATCATGTTTTTGTATCCCCACCATATAGTACAGTTTCTTGCACACAGTCAGCAATTGCTACATCTTTCTTGAAGTTAATTGATGCAGTGGGATTAATTTGGTCCAAGATAGTTACAAAGAGATGTGTGTCTGTGTGTATGTGTGTGTGTAATATGTGTGTATATGTGTGTGTGTGTGTATATATATATATACATATGTATATATATACATATGTGTATATATATACATATATATATACTTGTCTCAGTTTTGTAAATCTTATCTAAAATACTTCTTTTTAAAGATATTCATAGATTGAATGTAGAAACCAAATAAAACTGTTGAGCCACTTTTAATCTTTTGTATTTCTTTGGTAGACATATTATGGGAATGGGGGTGTTTTGTGTGAATGTATTAGAATAATGAACTAGGTTTTCAGAAGTAACCAGTGGTACTTGTGTCCTCTTTTTGTTTCAGCTATTTGGCTTGAGAAATCATTCACATTTGCCTTGGAAATAAATACTGTACCCATATATTCATGTCTTTGGCCTAAAATATATGGAAGTAAGGCTTAGGGGAAAGAAGAAATAAGACTTAAAAGAAAACAAAAATATTCAGACACATTTAATTTCTTTATTTGTTTTCTTTTCCTTCTGGCATGTTTACACAATACCTGTATATTAAGTCAAAATTCAGCATTTTGTTAATGTCAATTTCAGGTCTACACATTGCCAACCATCTAGATGTTTAGAAACATCCAAATATTTTAGTGGCTTTCCTTTTTTGCATGTAGTCAATATGATTTGGTACAGTTTTAATCTGCTATTTTGGGATGCTATAAAATGAATTGATGCTTTGAGGGGAAGAAAAGAATCCCTAGATATGTAGATTAAGTCAAAACTAATTTTTATATATTGTTACCATTGTCATTGGTGAACAAACACTGCAATTGTTTTTTTTAATCTATCTTGAATGCTTCATAGTTAGATAATTTCAAATAAATTTAAAATCATTGAGTAAAAGAGAACAGGGACCCTAGGATTTAGAACTGAAAAGGACATTAGATATCAGCTAGTTCAACTTTTTTACTATGACTAGGAAAGTAAGCCCTGGAACTGTGAAGAAACCTGCTGAGTATCATGAAGGTAGTAAATAGGAAAACTGAGATCCAGACACAGGTTCCCAGATTCCAAATTCAGTGCTCAGGTACACACAAAAGACTTTTGATAAAATGTCTTTAAATATTGTGAATTACTCAATTGGCAGCCCTTTTTTTTAGAAATTGCACTGGATTATGGCTAGCAAGATAAAATTACCTTTTCCCCCTGCCATTTAGGCTTATGTAGATAAGTGTATTAATGGCCATACCAAATTGTTGACTTAGAAGAAGTTACCAAACTCAAATGTTTATAGTACCACTGATTCTGATGTGGCCTGAAAAGTTGGACTGTATGAATTTTAAGAAGGTGTTGTTTCAGAGATACCATTAAGGGTTGAACAATTTTCTTCATAGTTCACATGTGTCCTAACTCAGACATGAAATGCCCCTAGGTATTTCAGTTTTCATGGCTCTCAGAAGGCACTTATTCTGCACTATTTTGTCCTCTGTGATCCACTTGAATACATAAAATGTACATAAATAATTGTATGGTATGTCTCTATTACACACTGTATGGTTTATCTGATAATGTAGCATAGTGGAAGTATCAATGGACTTGGAGTTAGAAGTCCAGATTTGAGGCCTAGCTCTGAGAGGAGGGTGGTTGCTCATATGCCTGGCTATGTGCAATTGGATTGACTATCTCACCTTGATTGACTCAGTTTCCTCATATTTAAAAATAGCAGCTGCTCTGCCTCTTATAGGGATGTTGGTACAATCAAATTACATCTGTGAAAGCACTTTGTAAATTATAAAGGCTCTCCATATGCTAGTTATTATTATTATTATCTACGCCATAGTTTTACTCCTAGCCTGATCTCATAAGTTCATAAGCCTAAGTTCAGACTTCTTCCCCTTGCTCTATGTCAATGAATGCTCAGAATAATAGATACTATTTATAAAATACTTATTATGTATCAGGCACTGTGCTAATCACTTTACAATTATTATCTCATTTAATTCTCACAACAACACTGAGAGGAAGATACTGTGGTTATTATTCCCATTTTAAGGATGAGGAAACTAAGGAAAATAGAGGTTAAGTAATTTGGCTAAGGTCACGCAGCTAGTAAATATTTAAGGCCACATTTGAATTCATGCCTTCCTGACTATCACATATTATCTACTACACTACCTAAAGACAAGTTAGTATGGATCTGGATTTATTTGTTCTTTTGAATTTTCCAAAATGCCACTGCCATCTCTGAGCCTTTATTTCCATGATCATGAGTAACTGAAAGTTGACCTAATCAGTAATGTATATTTATAGTCAAAACTAAAGGCCTATTTTTTTTCCATTTCAGGTTATGAAGATTATGATCCTCTTTCTGATTCTACACAGTTGGTGCCCCAGGAAACTATGGAGATTCTTTAGAGAACAGATGGAAATGGATGATTAAGTCCCTGATTTTCTACACATTTTATCCAGCACTTTGATTGACTATATCTTTAAAACATTTTATTACAACATGTCACCTCTGTTGGCTTGAAACTTATTCTTAAAATGATCCTTTTGTCGTTCCTGGCAATCCTGCTTTTGAAGGAAGATGCTGGTAGGAATGCTGGCTTTCTGGTTTCTGCACAGTCCAATGAGAGGAGGGTGGTTGCTCATATGCCTGGTGATATCATCATTGGGGCTTTATTTTCAGTGCACCACCAACCTACTGTGGACAAGGTCCATGAGAGGAAATGTGGAGAGGTTAGGGAACAATATGGCATTCAGAGAGTGGAGGCCATGCTCCACACACTGGAGAGGATTAATTCAGACCCAACACTGTTGCCTAACATTACATTAGGCTGTGAAATAAGGGATTCTTGCTGGCATTCTGCTGTGGCCCTGGAGCAGAGCATAGAGTTCATAAGGGACTCCCTCATTTCTTCAGAAGAGGAAGAGGGCTTGGTGCGCTGTGTTGATGGCTCCTCCACCCCATTCCGCTCGAAAAAACCCATAGTTGGGGTGATTGGCCCTGGCTCCAGCTCTGTGGCGATCCAGGTCCAGAACTTGCTCCAGCTTTTCAATATACCTCAGATAGCATACTCAGCCACAAGCATGGACTTAAGTGACAAAACATTGTTCAAGTATTTCATGAGGGTAGTGCCATCAGATGCCCAACAGGCTCGGGCCATGGTGGACATCGTCAAAAGATACAACTGGACCTATGTTTCTGCTGTGCACACAGAAGGTAAATTTTTACAATATCAAGAAATGATACCTTTCTAAGTCATTGACAGTGTCTAGCCTTCCTGTTTATAATATTGGTACCTGTAGATACTGTTTACCCTTCTAGCTTGGACTCATCTGTATGGATGGTTAAATGAAGTTTAAAAAAGTAGAAGTAGCATTCATTTTAATTTTCAATAGCGTCAACTTAAAGTTGATTAGAATTACTTTGTGTCATAGACAGAATTTTAATGTCAATGGTCTCTAGAGAATGAAGAGCAAAGCGAGTTTATTCTGACCCAGATGCCCTTCCCATGATGATATTAATTCAACAGATGATTTACCAATAATCTGGGTTTTAATGGTAGATCATTAAGAGGCTAAGAGACTTGACCTCTTGAAGGTTTTTGCAATCTATTTAACATTTGACATGAAGTATGTGTAGTAGACTAAAGTCAGAGAGGAAGGAATGAAAATGAGAAAATGGTCAAGTTTCAGGAATAATACATCATAGCTACTACTGCTGCTGCTGCTGGGAACCTTTATGATAGTTTGTCTTATGGAAAAGTTGTGTAGGAGAACTCTGATCAGAAAGAAATTTAGTATTTGAGGAAGTAGAGTACTGGTCTATTGAATTTCCTAGCTAACCAAAAACCCATTCTGTTTCAACTCTTGCTTCTGAAAATAATTCAAAGGCTGTAATCCAGTTTTCTATCTTAGCAAATATAGTATATTAACTATAATATTCCTATGATAATTAAACATCTTACATGGTGCTGGAATTATGAATCTACCTAGATTTCATCATTGTCCAGTCTTGTATAAAGCTAAATAAAAAGGGTTCTTAACCTGAAATCTAAGAAAAAATGAAATTTTTAATAATTTAATAACTATTTCATAAAATTAGTTTATTTTCAATCCCATTTTTTGTTTTATATTTTTTTTGGTGAGGCAATTGGGGTTAAGTGACTTGACCAAGGTCACACAGCTAGTACGTGTCAAGTGTTTGATGTGAGGTCAGATTTGAACTCAAGTCCTCCAGACTTCAGGGCCGATGCTCTATCTACTGCACCACCTAGCTTTCGCTGTTTTATATTTTTAAAAACATTATTATGAGGAGTTCCAATAAGTTCCCCCAGATTTGTAAAAGGTACATGATCCATAAAAAAGTTTAAGAACCTCTGATCTAAAAGTTGCAGGAAATTAGGATAAAGTTTTATTAAGAACAGGTTATGCTCTGAAAATGTGATTTTGGAAAAAAAATAAAATGTCAAATGTCAAGTTGAGATTTGTTGGTTTATGAGATTATTTTTATCAGTTGCCTCTTTTCTCAAAATGCATGTTGAGTAAAAACATGAGTTATTTGAAGTTTTAATTTATTTGGAATCTTACATGTATCATACCATAGAAAAATCATGACTAGAATGTGCATAATTTAAAATCATATAGTAATATCATCTTCATCCATTTATTCCTATTCATTCCTTGATTAAATCAGCAAATGTTTACTGTGGCTATTTTGTTCAAATAACAATACCAGATGTCAGAGAGGATATAGAGATGAGTGAGAGGATCATTACTCTGAAGAGCCTTGCAGTCTCATAGAATAAATAAGGTTGGTACTCGAATAAGCTACAAGAAAGTATAGAATGTGATGAGCTAATAAAGGGGGGGAAAGATAATATTCTGGGAATTCATTGGAAAAAGAGACAACTTCTACTTGGATGTATTAGAGATAGCTTCAGGGAGGAGATGGCATTTGAGTGGAGTTTGAAGTTTGGGTATCATTGTGACAGGACAAATGGTGGTACAATATTCCAGTTGCAGAGAGCATTATAAATAAAATTGTAAAGGTAGGAATGTGAAATTAAATATATATATGTATATATATTCAAGGAGTTGGTAAATAGTTACTTTGAAGCATAGCAAGTAAGGGAGTGCTTTGCACAAAATAGTAGGAGTACAATAAATTCTTGCTGAGATGAATTGAAATGATAAAACTACCTCTTAAGAGGTGGGTGGGGAACAGATCATGGAGGTCTTTGAATGTCAACCTAAGATTACACACACACACACACACACACAAACACAAACACACACACACACACACACACACACACACACACACTGTGGCTCTATCAGGTATTTAAATTGTAATCCTGGTTATCTTCTCAGGCCTTTCAAATTCCCAAGCCAGTAAAGATGGCACAGGGTGTTGTTTTTTTGTCATTTTTATTTTTGTTGTTGTTAAATCACTGAATATAATAGTGGGCAGTACTGCTCTTGTCAAACTTTCAGGAGCTGTCTAATATTCATACACTTCCCCACCCACCCTCAAACACAACACCATAACCCAACATGTGTTGTGCCTGCTACTTCCTCTCATAGGCTTCTGAATGTTTTTTTATGGGAAGAAATATCTTTTCATTTTCTGATTCAACCAGTTAGATGATGGACACTTTAAGCCATTATTATCCTGGCTCACTTAAGTGAAAGCTTATATCATTTGACAATGTTTGATGTTTCAGAGGCAACGAGAAATATTTGCAGTTTTTGAAAGTTTTTGAAAGACCAAAAGTAGATTGCTCAATCTGAATCAAAGGAGAGAGAGCATGGCTAAAATAAGGAGAATAAAAGTTGTTAGACTCATAACTAGGAATTTTTGTACCTAGGACAAATACAACAAATTACATCTGGTGATCTCTAAACACAACAATAGATAGGTTCTCTAATAATTAATTCTTTCTAACTTGGTACTAGGTGCCAATGGGCAGCTAAGTGGTACATCGGATAGAGTGTCTGGCCTGGAGTCAGGAAGACTCATTTTTCTGAGTTCAAATCTGGCCTCAGACACTTAGTAGCCCTGTGACCCTGGGCAAGTCCATTAATCCTGTTTGCCTCAGTTTCCCCATCTGTAAAATGAGCTGGAGAAGGAAATGGCAAACTCCAGTATCTTTGCCAAGAAAACTTCAAATGGGGTCATGAAGAGTTGGATAGAACTGAAAAACTACTGACCAACAACAGCTAGGTGCTAAGTTCTGTTGTGTCTATGTTAACGAAAGACTTGAAATACTGGTATTACCTTCTAAACTGAGCACCCTTTAAGTTTAGAAACCTGTGGCAAAGACTCAGGTGCTGCACCTTAATAAAGTCTGTACTGTAAGGTATTCCTAAATTGAATTTCTTTCTCCAATAGGTCACTCCTTCACTGAGTTTCTACACATAGTGGAATTTTAGCCTATGGAAATGCTGTATTTATCCTCCTAATCCTCATGAGGAATGCTCAATATTAAAGGCTAATCAGTATTTCTTTATGTTTTCAGTGGAGAAATGAAAGGCCTGGAAACAATCCTACTATTAAAAATACTTTTGAGACCCAAGGCTCATTTATTCCTCCTGTACTAAGATGCCATGGTACCAGTGACACCAGTTGTACCCTTGGTGGATATGACAGTATTTACTAAACCACAGAGAAGCCAGTAGCTTTGGAATTCCTAGGGATAGTGAAAAGCAGAGTTGTATTTAATCTTCAAGATTAATCTCTCCTGCTATTACTTCTGATTTATAGGTGCTCACTAACTCTGAGAATCTGTTACCTGTACACTTCTGTATTTGACTACAAATGCATTCAAGCCTCCAAGGCAAAAAGTCACATTAGATGAGAAGGAAGGAAGGATATAGCCTATAAAGACAGCTCAAACATCAACTCCAAGTGTATTGAGAGGAGGGATGAGGAGAGATTTTTAAGAACTCTTTTTGGAGCATTATTTGACATTGATGGAGCATAGCTCACTGGCCATTTATAATTATGTGTTATCTACAACTGTGGCATATAGCTACAATTTCTTTCATGTAAACTGAGATACTATAATTTAGATCCTCCTTCAAGATAAAGTGTATTTATTATAACAATTGTGTTTGGAATTTTTGGGCAAGTTTTTGTTTTGTTGAATTCAGTGATGAATCATGGTTCATTTTTTTAAACTCTCCCTTGTTGGTTGTAAGTATTGTGCTTATTGATCCAAGGTATAAAATATGGGAATAATGTTTCTTCACCACTTTCCACCCCTTAGCATACAATAATAAGAGAACTATACACACACACACACACACATACATAGATACATATAAATATATATACATACATACATCTATATATATATATTTTCCACCCTGGGCATCTGCCCCATATTAAAAAGATAAAGACTAAGTGTTGTAAGAGTAATTGACAAAGAATGGAGGAAAGGGCATGGAATATTGAGTTAAATGACCTCAGTTCTAGCCTTAGATCTGCCACTTTCTAGCAATGTCACTCTTCTGGACTTTAGGTTCTTGATCTATAAAATAAGGGAGTTAGAGTAGGTTATTTATAAAGTCTGTTAAATTTATAACTATGGCATCCTAGGATCTGTTTTTACATCCCTTCTCCATCTAAAACCATCTTCCATACCAAAGAACAAGCATGCCAATCATTTTAGTAAAAAAAAAATCATGCGGTATTTTAGCATTAAATGAAGCACAAGTTGGATATTTTAAGTCTGAAATTCTGTGGCGCTGTGGTAAAGTGTTTTGAGTGTTCTAGAGAAGAATTAGACAATGGGAAATTGGAAAAAGAAGGCATAGTTGCATTTGTGAGGAGGTGAAATAAATCTTTGATGAATCTATTTTGAGGGTTGGGAAGAAATATAGAATAAATATTTCCACAATCCCATGAAAATTATCATATTCAACTGAAAGGTACACTATTTTTGGAAGGTAATAATTAATAAGGATAGGGACTGGACTTGTAATTTCATTGGTATAGGGCATTGTCAATTGAGTCACTCCTTTAATTCGTTCAATAAGCTTTCAATAAACAGTGCCAGACACTGTGCAAAGTACTGAGGATACAAAAAGTGGCAAAACACTGTTCCTGTCCTCAAAGGGCTTACAATCTAATGAAGGAAACAACATCCAAATACATATATACAAAATAAGCTATATACAGAATAAATGAGAATTATTAAAAGAGATAAAGCATGG